CCCCCCCGGGATGAATTGAGACTTTTGATTGCCTTACAGTTATTTTATTACCTTTTATGTGAGGAACCTCAATCTCTTGTGAATAACTTGCTTGCTATGCCATTTTAACATTCTCTGACCAAGAATTCAGCAGGTCTGATTTGCTGATCATATTGTGCAAGAGCAAATAAACAGTTCACCTCCATTTTTTGATCTTGTGTCTGGGAGCTACTTTGAAATGAATGCTTCTATTAAATGCTCAACATCATGCCAATGATGTTCATTTCTGCTCTGAGAAGGACTTCTCTGAGATCTTTGCAATTATTGCTTGCTGTTAATTGTAAAACACTGAGGGTCCAACTAGTTATTAAAACAAAAAAGAAAACACACACACAAAAACTATGGTAGAGGATAATTCTCAAGATGATTCTAGTTGAAGGATTGTAATACTTGTTCTGCATTACTGATTTCAGTAGTTCCCTCATATAACTGACCTAGCCAACCCACTGGTACACTGATGAAATTTTTCTGAGGCTGCCTGCATTCAGTGATGTTAGTTCTTAAAAACATTTCAAGTTAAACTTCAGTACTAGTTTGGTATCTTTAAACCCCATGTATCACATGTGCAACATTTCATGAGATTTTTTTGAGAATGTTGATTTGTGCTGCCTTTACAAACTTATTTCTGTTTGGCAAAACAGAAATATGTTTGTAAGTCTAGTGTATGCTCATATTCAGTGATTAATTCACAGTGTTGCTGAGGGTTGATGGTTTTATTATGGGAGGTTGGTGAACTAGTAGCCTGATTGTGTTTTTTGAATAACAACTTCAGACAGAAACGGTACCTGTATTAGGAAGAAAAACCCTCAAGCTCTTGGGTGCACAGCTCTTCTTGGGATTTGAGTATTTGTCCCATATATATACTTATATGAAATCAGTTATGTTAATTTTTTAAGTATTGTGAAAGGAAAGGTAATTATCATGTCTGGAGCCAAACAGGTTATTAACAAAATGAGAGAAAATAAGGTTTGTAGCCTCTGTTTTTGGGGGGGAGATGGAGGAAGATGAAAGAGAATATTTGCCTTAGGAATGATGAGAGATCAGTTGGGATGAGATGTGGGAAGAGTATTAATATGTCGCACAGCTGTGGTCTTTCACCTGATGACTTTTTATTATTCCATCAGATGGTTAAAAAGTTTAGTTTCTCAGCTTGTTCTTTGAAGGTGTTTTGTAGGTCGTCAATGCATAATAGAACTGAGAAGTAAAAAGTGGAATAATTGCTCTGTAAAAAAAAATTCTTCCATTTAACTGTATTTTTAATTTTTTTTTCTTGTGTGTTCTCATTTGTGGTTGTTTGATTTCAGTTATACAGGGACATGCTTGGACACTAGATGAAATACCATTTGTGTACCTATGATAGTCTGGGAACTTAAAGGGTTCTGTTCTGTGGCTTACTGAGAGCTGTGGACAGAAGATTCAGCACTTTTGTAGCTTTGAACCATTTTGCTATGCAGGCAAACACTGTAGTGTTTGGTACAATTCTTGGAGGCAAAGGATTAAATTAGTTTCTTATGTATTTACATATGACAATTTAGACTCTACACAGCTGAAAAGCTTTTGTAGGTGATCGTGGAGCAGATCCTCCTGGAAACTATGCTAAGGCACATGGAAAATAAGGAGGTGATTGGTGACAGCCAACATGACTTCACTAAAGGCAAATCGTGCCTGACAAATTTGGTGGCCTTCTATGATGGGGTTACAGCGTTGGTGGATAAGGGAAGAGCAACTGACTACAGAGAAATTGTCCAAGCAGGCAGGCATCAGGTTAGGAAAGCTAAAGCCCTGATAGAATTGCATCTGGCCAGGGACATCAAGGGCAACAAGAAAAGATCCTAGAGGTATATTGGGGATAAAAGGAAGACAAGGGAAAATGTGGACCCTCTGCGGAATAAAATGGGAGACCTGGTTACACAGAGAAGGCGGAGGTACTCGATGACTTTTTTACCTCGGTCTTCACTGGCAAGTGCTCGAGCCTTACCGCCCAAGCCACAGAAGGCAAAGGTGGGGACTGGGAGAATGAAGAGCCGCCCACTGTGGGAGAAGATCAGGTTCGAGACCATCTAAGGCAGCTGAAGGTGCACAAGTCCATGGGACCCCATGAGATCCATCTGCAGGTCCTGAAGGA